GTATTATATATGGAAAATTCTACTACCAGTCCTTCATCACCTTAGACGGAATAGGGTGAATACAGCTCATACTACTGATTTACTGATAGTCTCGAAACTCTACTCCAAAACGAAATGATCTGATAATGTCCGACATAAGAGGGTTATCGAGTGTACCATTTTCAACTGGCTTAACATTGGTCTGATAGCCAGCGTGTCCACAATGCATCGAAGCGAATGCTGGATTCTTCGAATGAATTTGACAAAAAGCCCTTTTCAAAGTCTATCAGTCGAGCGTGTCGAGTTTAATGGAAGGCAGACGGCCGCTTGTCCTTACAAAATTCCCCACAGACGAAGGGGAAAGTCATTCCCGTCTCGTCTGGATTGAGCGCTTCCTTTCTTGGCGTGCAGATGAGACGGTGAGGAGCGGTCCAAGCTGCTGTTCAGTCTGTAGACAAGCCCAGCCCAGGAATTGCAATAGGCCGTCATTCTTTTCACCCCATCGTGGACAGACTAGCTGTCAGGCCAATTAAAAATAAGTCAAAGTCATAAACCAACAACAGTGGCCAACCACACACGAGTTCTGATTAGCTCCGGTGGCACCGATGGCTCAATTGTCCCACAATCAAACGAGTAGGCCGCATGTCTGCAGTGAATTTCATTTAGCCCATACCGGACGGCAGTTTCGACTTTGTCTGCGCCTCAGCAAAAACCCCGTTGGGACTCGAGCTCAGATACTGTGGCCAATAATTTCGACTCGCCACAACTATGCCCTACTGTCATAAGACCGATGCGAACTTCAACGACAGCAAAGCCTCTTCCATGTCACATACACTGTGGCAATGCCGATTATGATCTTTCCATTATAATCGATTACGCTACTTATATTCATATAAGTAATACTATCAGTAAACTTTTCTTAAGAGTTCTAGTTGGTTTCTTCCTCGCCATGATATAAGTAGACCTCATATTTATGTTAAACTTCACTGAAGTCTTGCCTACTTTGTATGCATATATGTAACTTTATCGACGATTCCATTATAAACACGCGATATGAGAGATACTGTCTTTCTTTACCACGGTATCATGTCGGAAATAGACGCTGCCCAACCAGAGTTCGAGTCCCATTATCGGTGCTGATGCGACCCAGGCGGGGTCGAAACTGTGGTCCACTGCCGCCTAAGTGAGAATGTTTTTTGGGCAGCAATGCTGAAAGAATAACAGTGGCATCGTGAGACCTACTCATGTTATTGGGGAAACATTAAAATTATGCCACCTTTTGCGATTATATTTCTTATTCAAGATGTGCAGATAGTCTAAAAACCCGCTTCCTGTGCGTAAAATCAGATAAAGTAAAGTGTTTTACCGAATCGGTACCGTCTAAGAATAGCTTCGTCCGGCCATGGGCCCGATTCGAAAAACAGCATTGGCTCCTGAACGTCCTGAAGTCTGGCCCAATCGTCGGGCCTCCATGTGAATCTGCTGCCCCGTGCTGCCATCTCTCTCCATCTCAGCTCCATTCTCCACTTCATATTGCTCTTCATCCTCTCGATCTGGCCGTAGGTGTGATTTCTTGTCTGTCATCCGTGGCTGATGTGAACAAATCTGCTGCTGGTCAACCGCCCTAGCGGGTGCACCGCTGAGCTGGTGCAAGTGTTGGGTATGAAAATTGGTGGCGCAATCTTGCAGGGCCTGCTGAAGCTGACGTGACTGGCCAGAGTCGAGATGGAGCAGGAGAGAAGCGCTTTTGTGGCTCTGCTGCCTTTGCGGAGTGCCGGCCGTCGTCTCGGGCGGTGTCGTGAGCACTCCCGGAGAATAGGCAACCAATGGGTCATTCATTTGGTTTATCGACGATGACGGCTCCTCCTCCTCCTCCTCCTCTTCTTCTTCCTCTTCCTCCTCCTCCTCCTCTTCCTCCTCCTCTTCCTCTTGATGGCAGTTTATTGGTGGCAGCATGACCTGTTGCTGGCTCATCCTCTCATCCCCTGGAGACGACAGTTTTTGTTGCAGTTGATGCTGCTGCTGCTGCTGGTGATGATGATGATGATGATGATGATGATGATGATGATGAGACTGCGGATGTGTGTGCTGTTGCTGATGGTGTTGGTGGTGCTGATGTTGGCTGGACGTGGTGTGTTGTAGGTGGTGGGGAAGAGGTTGCGAGTGGGTTGTCATTGTTGTCTGATTTGGCAGCAAAATGTGCAACTCCTTCGACTGGTGGTTGGGATGAGTGTGCGAGGCAGAGACGAGGTCATAGGAGCGCTGACTTGGGCCGGATTTGTGGTCGAGCGAATGCATGACCTGTTGCGGCATAGACGCTTCTGACAACATGTATTGGTGCTGTCGAGACGGCTGCATGTGATGCGGCTGAACAGGCGGTGGTTGCGTCAGGCGGTGAAAAGCGCCGGGCGAGACAATCTCTCGACGAAAGTGCAAGAAATCCTGACTCGATTGGGCCTGAGGCGAGGGCAGAAGATCGCGCTCTGGCTGGTACATGTGGCTCGAATAGGCGGAGTTCTCGCCGGTCAGACTTAGTTGCGATGGCAACAGGTTGGACAAGTGGTGGTAGACCTCTGTCCGAGTTGTCTCCGTCGTCTGCGGCTCCTCCAGCTCGGCGTAGCCCGAGACGTCGGACTCAGCACGAGTCGTCGTGACAACAGCGTCACATGTCAAATACGCGCCACTGCGCCCACCCAACAGGACATGGTAGTCCTGGGCGACGAGGCGTAAGGCCGAAGCGGCCGGTGCCGCAGGCGAGAATGACGACAAGTTGGCGGTGGAAGAGGGCGAAGATGATGACGATGATGCTAATGATGATGATGATGAGCAGGAGGAGGAAGAAGAGGAAGAAGTGGGGATGGAGGTGGAAGAAGAAGAAGAAGAAGAAGAAGAAGAAGAAGAAGAAGAGGCAGTGGTAGAGGAGGGCGCCTCGTTGGCCGTCGCGGAAGGAATGGAAGTGAGGTCAAAGTCCTGCGTCAGGCTGGCCGAGAGTGCGTGGATTCCGAGGGATTGAAGAGTCGGTGTGCTCGTCTTGAAGCCGAAAGCGACTTCGGCCATCGGCGAAGTGGGCAGCGAGAGACTGGCCGCCGTCGACAGGAACATCTGCTCACCATCGGCCGGTGGCTCGCCGAGGAGGCTGAGATGAGCCGGCAACTGGGCGGAGGGAAAGCTGAGTCCTTCGCCCATCGAGAAGTCGTCCACCGGACTGTCCGGCAACTCGCAGATGCCTCCGTCGCTCGAGGTCGCTCTGTTCGCCATGACAACTGCTGCCGTGACCACCTCGAGGGCCTCGGCGACAGATGTCGAGATCTGCGAATCGAGTGACCGTGTGTCGCCGGTCGCCGTACCACTCGACGACAGGTCGGCCAGACTCGAGGTCAGCGTTTCGTTGACACGAAAGGCCTCCAGGCCTTGGGTCAGGCCGACGAAGGTGTGTTGCGAGAGTCCGGACGAAGGGATGGAGGACGAGGTGACTGTCTTTCGACCAAATGCTGATGATGATGATGATGATAATGATGCCGATGATGAGGGGGATGACGATGACGACGAGGAGGAGACAGTGCAGGCGAATGGATGAGTAGCGATGCTGGATCCGGACGAGGACGAATGGCGCTCGGCGGCGTCTGTTGACAAAATGGAGGTCGGTTTCACGGTCGTCAACTCGATCAACTCGCCGCCCAAAAAGCTCACTCCTTCATATCTACAGGAAAGCGCAGGGTGGCAGAGGGTAAATGTGACTAGTTCTTGCATAAGGGCTGTACTCATTCTATTTCTGTAGATGTGATGAAGGACTGCTAGTTGCATTTGCCCATACTCAAATGAGTAGTTATAAAATGTATTCAACCGATTTTATTTAAGGTGATGAAGGACTGGTAGGAGTAGAATTTTCCCACAAATAATGTGAGTTGAGCTGACGTTTCCGTTGAATTTTTACATAGATTTGCTTTCCCAAAAGTTGGTCTCATCCAGCCACCAGTGTACTGCAGTTTTGACCTTGCATCGGTCTTAGCAACACCCTCAGCGGGATTCGAACCGCGACAGTACAGGACGGTAGCTTGACACGCTAACCAATCGGCTACACTGCCACGAGCGCCTTTTGGGTCACGAGGAAAATGTGAATTTTCAAGGAAGGCCAGGCCTTTTTGCCATATCATATGCTTTTTTGTGGAATTGTCGATGAAGCAAACGTATGCTTTGCTATAACAATCGACTACTATACTTTATTTTTTCGAAGTAAGTATTATTTTTCGTGATTACCAGTAAATCAGTAGTATGAGATGTATTCATCAAATTTCGTTTAAGATGACTCCCGCTGAAAAAGTTGATAAGACTAATGCGAGGTCGAAACTGCAGTCCACTTCTGGCTGGATGAGAACAACATTTGGGAAAGCAAGGCTATGTAAAAATTCAACGGAAACGTCAGCTCGACTCACATCATTTGTGGGAAAATTCTACTCCTACCAGTCCTTCATCAACTTAAACGAAATCGGGTTATAAGATGTATTCACCCAATTTCGGTTAAGGTGATGAATGACTGGTAGAAGTAGAATTTTCCCACAAAAATATGAGTTAAATGACGATTCCATTGAATTTTTACATAGCTTTGCTTTCTTAAAAGTTGTTCTCATCCACCCAGAAGTGGACTGCAGTTTTGACCTCGCATTGGTCTTATCAACTCCCTCAGCGGGAGTCACCTTAAACGAAATTTGATGAATACATCTCATACTACTGATTTACTGGTAGTCACGAAAAACAATATTTAATTCGAAAAAATAAAGTATAGTAGTCGATTGTTATAGCAAAACATACGTTTGCTTCATCAACAATTGTACAAAAAAGCATATTTTATGGCAAAAAGGCCTGGCCTTCCTTGAAAATTCACATTTTCCTT